CGCTCTAAAGTGTTGATACTGGACTCTTCAAACATTGTTTACTGCTTAGCCATGCCACTACTAGAAAGCATGAGCAAATTCTTAGCATTTCCAATAATTTTTACTGTCCCTTACTGTGTAAACCACTTAGAGATCATGCTATAGGTTTTATTAACTTACAATCTGTAATCTCAATAAAAAACTTAGCAGTATCAGATACTCTCAAACTGGTAATTTAGAAATCATAGGTCTAAAGTGGCGTCCTGCATCTGAAACTGTTTGCACATTTGGATCAGATCATATAGAAACCATGTCTATAGAGCTTAATGACTTCAATCTTCCTCAATTCTGAAACTGTCTAATGCCTAACATAAAAATCTATTTGCGTGCATTTACTGTCTAACTGTAAAGGCTAACTTGAGCCTTTTAACTGTCCTTAAGTGCAGTCCTATTTGTTTTGAATTGTCGCCTAGTTTTAACATTTTTGAGAAGCCTAAGTCAAGTCTAGAACCACCCAAAAATAGAGGTCCAAATGCCTCATGAACCATAGGCATGGGACGGGTAGCGCACGCATAAGGCACGAATTAGAATCAACTAGTGCACTTTAGGTAATAACTTAAAGATAGTAATCGGGTAGCAGGAGATGATAGTCTGTGCTCGCTGAATAATACGAGTAACATCCCATCTTGAGGGAGTTACGAAGTATTATTTATGTTGCACGGGGTGATCCTTTAGGCTAAAAAACTTAGGACCCCCCATCTTATTCCCTTTTTATATTTGAATCAAGTGTTTGTATTTCCTCAAAGCCTTTTAATAATAAAATTTCTCAAACTTCTTGCTTTCTTTGTCTTTATTTATCCGACTAATTCATATAATTCAAGTTCATCCGGGATCCACAGTTGTGGACCTCGAAGAGTGCCTAACACCTTCTCTTCGAGGTAATTTCTAGCCCTTACCCGATCTCTGGTGATGCAAACTAGTCAAACCTGAGTCATATGCGAATAGGTGCCCTAACGCACCTTAAACCGTTAGGTGGCGATTCTCCTCTTTTAATGCCTCTTTTAAAAGAGTTGTCACATGTCGAAACTCGATTTTCGAGAGAGAAAAATGGAGGCGCGACAACATGGCGACCTTGCTAGGGATATACACTTAAGCTCTTACCATAATGAACTTGGCTTATGTGGATTAGTTTTCTTTGTTATAAACGCATATTCTTTTCCATCTTTATTTGTTAGATTTGCTATAACATGCACATCCCTTTCCCGTTCACCTTTACTTGTCTAAAACCGTTATAACATGTACGGCGCTTCCCTTCTCCATATTTATGTGCTTAAATTTGTTATAGCATGCACATCCCTTTCCATATCCGCCCTTAGTTGCTCTAACTGCTATTTATTAGCTATATCATGTCTCTCCCACCCTTACTCCCTTGCTTACTTTATTATATTCCCTATGTTCCACGAACTAACTTCTTCTTTTGTCTTTCTTTTTACATCCTTTATGTTTTATCTTAATACTGCATTTATTGCTTTCACATATTTATCATGCAAATACTTGGAAATGTATTATTATCTTTGCATAAAGCATGCTCCATATCATATTCCACTCGTGCCCAACTAATACCACAGTGGCACTTGATGAGTGTCCGCACTTTTTCCAAAATTACCCTTTTAATTTGGAAAGGCGTATTTGCAGTAAAACTAGTCGATCAGAGTTGCAGTCGACGGTTCCGTGCTTTTTCCTCTCAAGTTGTCCACTTGAGGGTACCGGTCTAGACCCTTCTAGAAACCTTACTCCAATATCAACTGTGCATGCATCATGTCAAACCTAGTACGGATTAGGACGTTGTCCATATGATAATCCACTAAGATAAGCCTTGTCCAAAGTTCGACGGGATTTCCATAATCTCAATGGACACCATCATGTTATGTGTATTACTTGGAGAAAACATGCTGACACATTGATCATTAATGTGTAAATAGTCAAACCCGGAGGGGAAATGGCTAACTCTATTTGTTTTGCAGAAAATGAGGCACGAAGTTCCCAGGTTCGGCATGGTTCAAAACATCCCACCTTTGCTGCTTGATTGGTGGAAGAACCTCTCACCCAGTGACCAGAATCATGTGAAAAAGGTCCTCGGAAATTTACCTTCCTTATTGGACATCCGGCCAAATAACGCATTAATTGAGGCCGCCACTATGTTTTGGGATGAGAAAAGAGTTGTATTTCTCTTTGGTAATGTAGAGATTATCCCTCTCTTAGAGGAAATAGGAGGCTTCGCTAGGCTGTCATGGGATAGTCTGGGTTTATTAGTACCAGAAAATTGCACTCCCCGCGATTTTTTGAAAATGATGAATTACTTTGTCTGAAAGGGTCATACATACCATTTGAATTCCTTTATGAATGTTATGGGCATAGCAAGTCATATCGCCTTCACCGTGATGAACTTGCCATTACTTCTTTGGGCTGGATACACCACTGAGTTTTTGTGTTCATTGTCTGTTTCTTGGGGTTGCTGATGGGAGGATCCACACTCGTTTAGCCATGGTCTCTAGGACTCTAATGGAAGGAATTGAAGGACAAACTTACTCTATCATCCCCATGATCTTGGCCGAAATGTACCGAGCTCTAGATCGATGCAAGCAAGGGTATGGGCATTTCGAGGGCTGTAATCTGTTGCTACAGGTTTGGTTATTAGAACATTTCCAGAGAGGTGAATATCGTCAGGAACTTCTGCGACGACCATTGAATGACTACATAGCCTACCATCATCCAAAAAGAATGTCATTTATCCCAGATAGGTTCGCGCAACCTGGAAATGTTGTGAGCTGGGTGCGTTTCTTCAGCAATTTGACTGATGAAAGGGTACATTGGATGTTCGAATGGTTTTCTAGCAGCGAGTTCATCATCAGGTCAAGAGAAACCACTCATTTAGTGTTGATCGGGTTAAGAGGAATTTATTATTATGCTCCTATAAGAGTAATGAGTCAAGTGGGAATAAAGCAGGTTATACCTCGGGTTTCCAACATGGTCCAGTATAAAGCAGACTTTAAAGGGAACATCATTTCGTTCAAGTTCGAGGCACGGTATATGTGGAATCAAAAGGTCGTTGTAGAGAAAGACACTATCGAGCCAGACAGGTACCATACCGACCATGTATACTTCTACCTGTCGTAGTTGGTCGATGATATAGCGGGAGATGTCAAACCAGGGATTTATCTGGAAAATAAGGTTATCGATGACACTATTGAAGAACAAGTCAAGTATAAGATTCTGCATAAGAGGGTTTTCGAGTCTGAAGCTAGACATTTGGAACAACACAAAGTGGATATGGAAGCTATCGCCGAATGGAAAGAAATTGCTACTAAATCAACAGAAAGATTGGAATATTTGGAGCAAGGGTTAATGGAACTCAAAGGGAAGATGAGGAAGAGGCTCTCAGATTGTCAGAATACAGAAGGCAGTGAGGGAGGGCACCTAGCAATGGCTTACCTACTATTGGACATGCGCGACCTGGGGAACATGATTGATGAATCCAAGAGGGCCAAGCATGGAGAAGGTCCCTCCTAGGCCAAATAGATTAGGGAATGATGTTCATTACTGCTTTTTAGCTTAGTTTTAGATTTCGAATGTAATAGGGCAAATGCCATTAGTGACTTTCTTATAATTGTCATTTTAGTAAGGATTTGATCCATTTTTGCATTAATGAAATGGCACAATTATTAGCATTAATTTTCTCCAAGTCTATATGTCACTTAGGCCTACCTCGGGCGCAACGAGGTCCCCCAAATTAGGACATGAATTTATTTACTGATTCTGCAACACATGTTCAATATTGCAAGCATTCTTTCAATATCCCTTACTGACTTGGTTACCTTTTTGTTTTTCTTTTCTTTGTTTATTCCCATTCCCCAAAGGTTGGTTTGTGCATACTAGCATCATCCGCATATCATACTAGATCTAGAGGTCCTCCACCTCCTCCTCCACCAAGTGATCCTAAAGGTAGAAGCAAAGGGAAATAAAAATGGATGATTTAAGCGGTATCAAAAAGGACAATGCAGAGAACGTTGAAACCTCGGACGGTCAGAATACTCCAGCACAGAACGAATTGGTCCTATGTCTGGACCAGAAAATATTGGAACTACAAGGGGAACTTGAGCAGGTCTGAAACTTGGCAAACCTTTCCCTCACCCTAAATGTCCCTGACATCAACCAACAAAACACAAACGCCCAATATCCGACACCTCCCTAAAACACGCAGAATCAAAACCCACTACCGAATCCTCCCGCACTACATAAATACGCCACACCTTCTCAAAACCACAACCCTCCACCGATACCTACTCCTCAACAACACCATCACCACCCAACTCGATACCCATAAACAACCACATACCACACCCCTCAGAATGCACCACAACCTACTCCTAACCCACAAAACTCAACCAATGACCACCATTACGCCCCAGATTCCCAAAGTCCACCAAAGCAATCCCATATATGTAGAAACCTTACCCCACAACCCATAACAGACCCTATACATACCCGAATCCGCCGAGAAGGACCTGCTCATCAAGAACATGGCGGAGGAACTCAAGAAACTTACTGGCGGGGTTCAAAGTGTCGAAGGGGGCAAAGGCATTGAGGGTTTGAATTATAAAGATTTATGTATTCAGCCAGATGTAGAACTGCCTGAGAGTTACAAACCTCCTAACTTCGAAATGTTCGATGGAACTGGTGATTCGAAGGTGCATTTGAGAACATATTATGACAAGCTTGTAGGAGTTGGCAGGGATGAAAGAATATGCATGAAACTGTTCATGAGAAGCCTCACCGGAGATGCCCTATCTTGGTACATCAGTCAGAACCCAAAGAAATGGGTTAATTGGGTGAGCATGGCATCAGATTTCCTGGATCGATTCAAGTTTAACACAGAAAACGCACCAAACATTTTCTATATTCAAAATCTCAAGAAGAAGCCAACGGAAACTTTTCGCGAGTATGCTACTCGGTGNCTGAAAAGAAAAAAAATAACAGAATCTTTTCTGTGATTCATTACCCTCTTCAGGCCCCACATTGTGTGATACACTGGGTATGCTGTTGTTATGCCGTTGTTGTTGTTGTTGTTGTAATGTTGGGAATATGTGACATGTGCTACGTTCTTCTACAAGTTATCAGCCCAAAAAGAAATGAAGCAAAACTGAGAGTTTGGGATTTTCTTTAAAGGGTGGTTGCCCCTCTCTGTTCTGCTGTTGATTTTTCTCTATTCACAAAAAGCCAACAGCCCTTGTCATGGAAACAACAGAAACATGAAGAATATAATCAAACAATATTACTCCTCCTAGTACTACTACATATTTGCCTTTCCTCTGTGTGTGTGGTGTGTTGTTTTTTTGGCGTTGATGGAACGTGCATAAAGAGGCAATGATGCTTGTGTCAAGGTAGGCTGCCTACAGTACACCCCTTAGGGAGCGGCGCTTCCCCTGACCCCTGCCTGAATGCGGGTTGCTTTGTGCACTGGGCTATCCTTTTTTATAGAAGGTGCATAAAGAGGCAATGATGATGATGATTCTATATCTGCGCTAATCAATTACGGCATGGGGATTGTATGACCCGTATCTTGGCTTGGCAACTTGGTATAGCCTGTGACTGAGGTTTCTCTCTCACATGCAAGCAATGTTTGTAGCCATGGCATGGCTGACTTCTTATTTGCCTTATCATAACACACATCTGAGCCGTTTAACGTTGGCCTCAAACCATCTTATTTGTGCAAATCTTGTTTTTCTTTCTGGGCTATGTTCAATTACGGAATTGAGAAAATATCCGATTTATATCTTGGCGGGGTGACCGGTTACGGCTTTATGTAGCAAACTGGTCTCTGCAGCCATGGTGATGTCGCCTTCTCTTATGCTATGGTAAGAGACAACAAATCTGAGCCCTTGCTGTTCTGCCGTTGATTTCCTCCATTATATAAAAACCAACAGCCCTTGTTTATGATAAAAGCAGAAAGAGCAAAAAGGATTCAAGTTATATACACTGACATCTTGGTCTTTCCTGGTGTGTGTTGTTTTTCGGTGTGGAAAGAAGGTACATAAAGAGGCAATGATGATGATGTTTCTATATCTAGGCTAACCAATTCGGGCATTGAGATGACCTGACCCGTATCTTGGCGAGGTAANAAGGTAACCCAGTATGGCCTGTGAATTGTGATTGAGACTTCCTGTCTTTGACATGCAACCGGTGTTTTGCAGACATGGCGTGACTGGCTTCTCTTTTGCCTTATCATAACACACATTTGAGCCTCATTTGCTTGAAAGGGAAAAAGAAAGAATCTTTTTGATGATTCAATGTTGGGATATGTCGGATGGGCGGCTTTCTGCTGCAAGTTATAAATCATCCGGCACTCCTACTGAATCACCATATTTGCTCAGTATGAGCTGAGAATAGCCTAGAAAGAAGGAAGAATGAGGCATCAGAGAGATTGGTTTTTTTTTTTTGTAAAGGGTGGTTGTCCCTCTCTGTTATGCCTGTGATTCTCCTCTGGTAACCAAAAAATACCCAACAGCCCTTTGAATTATACAAGAAAAGAAAAAAAATAAACAGTCATCAAAACACACCCCTATATTCCTCTTCTCTTCTCTTTATGCTGCTGCTACTTATACTGTAAATGGGCTGTGATGATTGCTTTCCTTTCTGGCTATGCTCAATCATGGCCTTGAGAAAATATGGCGGGGCGGCCTGGTATGGCTTTTGTATAGCAAATTGGTGTTTGCAGCCATGGTTGGGGTTGCTTTCTTTTTTGCTTTGTCAAAAGATACAGTAAATCCGAGCCTCACTTTTTAACCTAAAGGCCCGTGTAAGTCTCGGTTTAAAAAACTTAACTGTCCCGGGAAATTCGGAGGTGAAAAACCAAGGAATTTCTCATATAAGTTGTTGTCTTTACTCTGTCTGAGAGCCGACCACCCTAGACCTCTCGTGGGTCTGAGAACGATCCTCTACTGTTCAGTGGCCCAAGGGCCACCAAAGATATGCTAATCACGGTCTGGCTCATGGCCACATTTCATCCACTTAGACTTGGTTTCCTATCTCCTTAGAACTCAAGGATACAGCAGTGGTACAAGCCTATAGAACAAATGTTGTTCAAGTAAGGTCGACGAGCCTATAGAACAGATGCTGTTCAAGTAAGGTCTCAAAAAAAAAAACCCAAAGAATTGCTCTAGAAAGGACGGTTAGCCCAGAAAGAAAGAGAAAGAAATGAGGCAAAACAGAGAGTATTGGGATTTTCTTTAAGAGGGTGGTTGCCCCGCTCTGTTCACCATTGATTTTCCTCCATTATTATAAAACAACAGCCCATTGTTTGTGGAAACAAGCAGAAGCATAAACTGAAAAAACAAAAAGGATTTTATGTTATATACACTGACATCTCTATCTTCACTTTGTGTTTGTGTGTGTGTTGTTTATTCAGTGTGGATGGTTGTGCGATTAAGAGGCTGTGATGATGACGTTTCTCTATCTGAGCTTAACCAATTCGGGCATGGAGATGACCCGTATCGTGGCATGGCAACCTGGTATGGCCTGTGACTGAGATTTCTGTCTCACACATGCAACCGGTGTTTTGCAGCCATGGCATTGCCTTATCATAGGGATTTTTGGATATGTTGAACCTGCAATTTTCTGCTTACATGGAACAAAGAAAAAGCTCAGAAGGGAGAGAATGAGGCTACAGAGGCTATAGGGATTTTTGGTGAAAGGGTGGTTGCCTCTCTTTGCATTAGCCTATGATTTCTCAAAACAATCCCAACAGCCCTTTCTTCAAGAATATTTTGCATGGTATGGCCAGTTTTAGGACTACTATTTACATAGGGAGATTTGCACAAATAGGATCACTTGAATCTTCGATGCAGTATGCATTTTCTTTTCTTCCTTTCGTTTATGCTTCAGCCGGAGCATTCAATGCTGCCGGTGATTATAATCGGCGGCTAAAAAGAGGCTGTGATGATTTTGTCAATTCTTTCAGTTCCTTCTGAGCTTATCAATTGGGCATTTGAGATTACCCGACCGGTATCTTGGCAGGGCATTCCCCAGGTCTCCCTTGGTGATTTTTGCTGCCATGGCGTCGTCGACTATGTCTTTTTGCCTGAGCTATAACACTGATCTGAGCCTCGCTTTCGCTTTCCCCTTTATAAAATGGATATAGGCAGAGGCGGACTCAAGATTTGAACTTAAAAGTTCTTAGCACTATATTTGGGTTCAGAATCTAACACGAAAATAGCAAAAATCTCATTAGCTCAAGTCTGAGGCTGTGGTGAAAGCTTCTTTGCCAATTATCACTCTAATGAAAAACATTTCCTATTGCAAAACCACCCTTTTGGTGAAATTACACATGACCTCTCCCTTTTCCTTTTCTTGTTACTCTCTCTGGTCCATTAGGCTATGAAGATTTTATCTTCTGCAGAAGATGAATCAGGCATATAACTCTATGGAGCTGATAAAACTGTCTTGGCGTGGCAGCTCAGATGGGTCTGTGAGATATGGGGGGGAGGGGGTACCCTTTTTGGTGCTTCTTAATCTGTCTCATAAGGCTAATTGTTGCTTGCAGCCATGGCGGATTTTTCAAAGCTTTTTGATTTTTGTCTGAGAGAAGGCGAATCTGAGCCTACCCCATTATTGTGATTTGGTTTTTGGTTTTCCCTCTGCTCCTTGATTACATAAGCAAAAATTTGAGCTCATAACTTCATTTTACAGTCAGATATATGAATACTCACTAGCCATTCTTCTCCATATGGGCCCCTTTCATTCCAGTATTCAATAGATTTAGGTTCTTAAACACTTGGTGAAACACATTAGTTTAATTTTAGGACTTGGTGAAAGCAGAGAGCTCTGGGGAGATTCTGTGGGTGGTTTTGACCCTCTCTGTAATTCTCCAGTGTTTATGATTACTCAAAAGAAAATATTTTTAATATGCAAATACACACTTTTGGTGAAATTATGCTCCACCTCCCTATTTTCCCTTTCTTGTTATTCCCTCCGTTATGAGCAATGAGACTAAAGATTTTCTCTTTTATTTTATTTTGGTTTGACGATGCTATGAGTTAAGTTTAAATAAAGAAGTAAGGATTTATATCGTCGACCCAAACCTGTGTGGGACTGAGGCATAGTTGGTGTTGCTGTTTGTGTAGATGAATCAATCATTTTTCTCTCGAGCTGAAAAAACTGTATCTTGGCATGTCAACTCATATGGGTCTGAAATATTGTGGAAAAATTTCATTCGTGTTTCTTTTCTGTCTCATAAGTCTCACTGATGCTTGAAGCCATGACAGTTCTTAAAGCTTATGTTTTTTTGTGTGAGAAAAGAAAAATCTTAGCCTATCCCATTACCTAGACTAGATTGTGCTAAAAGAATGAGGCTTCATATGACTCACAGAATGCAGGAGTTTCTTGGGTGGTTTCTCTGTTCGTTTTTAGTTTGACAGCGTATGAATTCCTTGATTCTTTTTCTATCAACAGCCAACAACAACAACAACAATCCAGTATAATCCCACTAGTGGGGTCTGGGGAGGGTAATGTGTACACAGACCTTACCCCTACCCTGGGGTAGAGAGTCTGTTTCGGATAGACCCTCGGCTCCTCTCCCTCCGAGAACTCCCCACCTTGCTCTTGGGGTGACTCGAACTCACAACCTCTTGGTTGGAAGTGGAGGGTGCTTACCACTAGAGCAACCCACTCTTTTCTATCAACAGCCCTGGCATCAAAAAATGTTGATGAAAAGAATGATGACAATGATGCTAAATCAGTCATCTATGTCTTTATCCCGAATAGTTTGGGTCGGCTATATGAACCTGTGTTCATTCACTCTAAACCCTAAACCTAGTGAACGAGGCTGTGATGATCTTATCCAGAAAGCTTGAAATCTCAGATATTTGTGCTGATTCTTAGCTTGGCTGGGGAACGTAGGGGGAGTTTTGGTTTTTAGCTTTGGTTTTTGATACTTTTAAACAAATCTGAGCCTCATTTTTGTGTTACTTTCAATTCCTTGGACAATCTGTCAACATTTTCTTTTCTGGTTCTTTTTTTATGTCTACATTTTTCTAGGTTATTACCCCCTCTTCATACAACAACCATGCTTCAGTTTCAAGCTAGTTGCAGTCAGTTATATGAATCCTCACTATTTTTTCTACTTCATTTGGACCCATTTTATTCCAACATTCGATAATTTGAGGCTCTCTTAACTCTAGAAGTTCTAACGTACAAATCTTGAAATATACTAAAAGGCCTCCCAGTAAACACTACACGTAATGTAAGTGTACAAAGCCTTATTCCACTTTTGAAAAGAAGTTTCATGTATTCTCCTCAAATTTTGATTCCATTTTCTGGATCTTTAGAATCCACATTCTCTGAGGCAGTGAAGATTATCTTAATAAGACTGAACAATATTTTTGAGCTAATTCCTGGCTTGGCACTTGGAAGGTCTGTGAAGGATGTTGTTCCTTCTCATGAGGCAACCATGTATGCAGCTATGAAAGTTTTAGCTCTGCTCTTTGATTAAATAGGCGAAAATCTGAGCCTCCTCCATACCTCAGTTTAACTTTTGTTTGAACACTGTAATTGTATATTGGTGAAGCTTTCTGGGAATAAATTTGAACTTAAATGTCAGTCTTAAACTGATTTCGAGTTTCATAGTTGTTTTGTGATAGTTGGGTTTTCATGAAAAAAATTACAAAAAATGTCATGGTCTCTTGTCTTGATGTCGTCATGTCTTTAATAGTTCATTCTGAATTTTTCTAACTTGCCCCGTATAAGAAATGATGATGATAGCAAAATTATTGATGGAGAGAATTGACAGAAAACAACTGTCTTTTAGCTTTCACTGACAAGCCCATCTAAAATTTGATAGGTAAGTATCTTCTTTGGCATATTTTTTAATCATCAGATATCCTAATTTGGAGTATAATAACTGTCTACTCATTGAGCATATCTCTTATGAAAGGCCTTTGAATTGGCTATTTTTTGGTTAATTGGTAGGTGGGGATATCCTTGCGCCTTAATAGCACTGGACTTTTCCAGTTTTACTTGAGATGTTCAAGCCTTCCTAGTCGACCAAGGTATTCAGCATTCTTGAAGACAAAGTTGCAGGTAATACATACTCTTTGCCTTTAGGACGAAATGTTTGAATGAAGCACAAACCTAGATTCTTATATGCCTTTTTCCCATGTTCTTGCTTGCAGTTCCTTTTGTGTTTCTTTACTAAAATCATTGTACGCTTTAGCTGCAACTGGACTAGAAGTCTAAAACAAAGAAGAGAGAGAGGGAGGGAGCGAGAGATTTGGGAATAAGTAGTATTTCGTTTCTTTTGTATTAAAAGGCTTTTAATTTTTGGAAAGCTCCCGCTCTGTTATGTGTTTTATTTGTATTGCAAGGTTAAAGAGAAAATTTGCAAGAAGCTTTGTTGTTGCTCTGAGTTGATTAATTGATGAAGCATCCTGATGTTGTGGTTGTTGGGAGGAGATTAACTGAGACCACCAGAGTTCAACTTCATGTTTGTCATTTGGATTAGAAAGTCAATTATGTCAGCACCTTCTTTAGTGCTTTCTGTTAGGCAAATAGAGCTGTCAATTGAAAGGCGTGTTGTTAATGCACATATGTAATTGATCATCTGTTCCAGGTTACGAGACCCATTATTAAATCCTTTCAAGTAAGTAGTAAATAATATCCTCTAGCAGGGATTTAAATGGAGATCTATTGGGACTCCCCTGGAAGCATTCTGACTTCCAGTCAAGGAAGCCGCCATAAGATGAACTGCGAGCGCTTGAGCAGGCAAGAATTGTATGTAAGGTTTTCTCTTTGTCTATTATCTGTAATTCTAGCCTGTATACAGGTAAGTAAAGCATGTGTGTGTTCTTCCTGTTAATTTTTTTTTAAAAAAAACGTGTGTTCCTTTTTCTCGTTAATAGTGGTCACCTTTGTGTATGTGCATGATCGAGAGTGAGATTTTGATCTCTGAAGATCTGCTTTTGGATTAATTGAGACCATCCACGCTCAACTAATTCTCTACGAGGGCTATTTAATGGCATAAGACATTGCTTCATGATGTCTAATTATTTCCTTGATCTTTTCCAAAACTCCCTGCAAACTCTATGGGAGATTTAGAAGTGAGGGAAGCCTGTCGTATCCAATGGCTGCTACGCCAGTCCAAGTATAGTCTGTGACTGTCTACAGCAAGAGTTGATAATGAACTGCAGATACTCCTGTGGCGTAACTGCAGTTTAAAGAAGGAAATTGCCATTTGCAAAGACAAATGCAGATAAAATTTCAAGTCCTGTTGTGTGATCATCAGCCACTGATTGTACTCTAGGCTCTAAATGCTGTGCTTTATTGGCAGGCCATATGTGTTGGAACAGGGATTTCCTCACAGCCAAAGTCTTTATCTGCTTGTTTGCAATGAACTATTCGTCTTATTGGTTGTGACTTAAGCTCTGTCCATCGGAAACTATGATATGAACTCTGTTGGAAGATCTTTCACCAACGCTCCTGCATTCTTAAGCAACCAAACTCAGTAGATGGTATGCAACTGATCTCCCTGTGCTCGATTAACTGTATGAGATGGTCTTGGAAACTCGGATTCTGCTGGTCATGTTATGAGGGAAACTGCAGGACTAGTTACAGGAAGTGATAACTATGAAGATGAATTTATGTTGAGTGAGGTTCCTATTTAATTGACAAAGTTGGATTTTTTTGCAAGCTATAACGTGTAAATATTGAACCAAAAGCACAAACATTATAGGATTGTTTTCTGCTGTTGTGGAAGCTTGTAATCTGTGTATATAAATGGTTGACATAGGACCAATGCAAATATGAGATTATCGTCTATACTAGTTCTAGTTCTTGCTCCTTTTTTTGAGATGAACAAGAAAAGTGGATATTGGATAAGACAAAACTTATTTCAAGTTTCACTATAGAGCTATGCATCAAACACAGGTTAAAATTAACAAAAGAAAAGTGATATCAAGGAGTAGAATTGAAAATAGACTGCGTACTTGAGGATCTCAGGACTATTATTGAAGACGGTAAGTATTTACTGGAAACCAACAATGCTACTATTATATTAGACGAACAAATTTGCAAACTTTCTACAGTAAATTTGATAATCTGAAAGGTTGCGCTTAAGGAAATAAAGTTTTTCTTCCGACCAATTAAAATAGCAGTGCTTATTATATTTTTTAAGTAATTAATTGTCTTGACCAATATTTATAATTTTTTTATATATAAAAATAATAAAATGATCATAAATACCTAAACCCCCCATTGAAACAGATCTTCACAAGACATAATAATAGCCTGTTTGCTTAAATTTTTCCGAGTTCAAAACTACTTTTTTCAGAAATTTAAAGTATTTGGCCAAACTTTTAGGAAAAAAAAAAAAGTTCTTTTGAGGTCCCTGTAGTAGAGAGCTCCTTGTAATATGGTCCCAGTAATGAGTAAAGTTTCACAGCACCTCCTTGTACAGGGACCATTTTGATAGAGAGCTCTTGTACAGAAACTAAACTAACAAATCCTCAATTTCCCCCGGGAGAAAAGCAAAAAGAAGAGTTTTTTGCCAATATTGTACCTTATTTTTTAGGTTAAGTCTATTTTGGTCCCTTAAATATAGCCCTAAGCATATTTAGTTCTTTAAGTATGCTAAAGTGAAGCATCTTTAGTCTCATTGACACAATGTGTTCAAAAACTAACGGTGTTACTCAACTCTAATTCATGAAACAAATCTTCTTTTATGAAGCAAAACGTTTTTTCTCCTTTTATTGAATAACGAAAATTATTACTTTAATTCCTCCTTGAAAATATCCCTTCTGTGCCAGTTTTCAATGAGAAAATGACACTGTATAGCCGCCGTAAAATT